GACATGGAAACACATATCCATCAGTACAACCAAGAACATGTCTCCCCTCCCCCCTGCCCCCGCGCGGAGATCCAAGGAAATTGACATGGCTGTGCCAAGATAATGCAGTAATTGCCGTACACATCTGAACGGAACCCGTTCATGAATATGTAAATCGGCGTGAAAAAAGAGGCATCGGCATTTGCCTCTGTTGCAACACAGGGCTGTGCCGGAGAGAGCGGCCGTGTCGGTTACAGAAAAGATGCATTATAGGGGGTGCCCACGAGCACGATCGGATCGGATCGGGTCGGGTCGGGTCCGGTCGATTTGATAGTCGGGACTAGCCAAATGGAGGGAGCAAAGCGGCCATCGTGGCACAAACCGATCGACTCGGAGCACGCCTTCCTTCCACACCTTGCCTGCCACACACACACGGCGGCACGCTCAGACAACGGGGGACAACAACCGTTATCAGGCTAAGTGTGCCGTAATAAAACCACCGATAGGACAAGTGAAGTACAGCGACAAGTGCTCTAAAGTCCCGCGTCTCCCCGGACATCTCGGGTCTGTTGTGTGAAGGTTCTCCCACTGTCCGATGTGTCGCTACATGTGGCTAGCCGTCACCTCGTGACTGAGAGATGGGCTTTTTTAAAGAAGCTAGTTTAAGCTTCAACCAGAAATCAGACCGAAACAGACGAAAGGTTCAATTTTGTTTTAATAAGAGTTTTACGACACTTGAACAACAATAAGGTCATATAAGTACAACAGATTTGAGGTGTTACAAGAGAGTAACAAACACAAACAAGAAGGAGGAGAGATCAGGACGAGAGATGTTTGATAAGAAAGAAGGAGCAGACCACACCAGAGTACCCGCCAACCACCCACGGAAGGAGCAGGAAAAAAGGATAGATGGGGTGAGAGAAACATTGGACAAGAACTAGACCAACACAACCATGCAACAGGCGGCACAACTAAGTAGAGAAAAATGTCCGCTTCTCCCCTAGCCCCCACACCGTTTGGGCTTTTGGAGGTTCTTATGTGAAGAAGTAGTTGTAGGAGAGGCTGAGAAAGCTTACAATACCTACAGCCACAGCTCAAATTCCATAATTTGGAGCGCCCCCCCTCCCCCCTTTAACAGCCTAGCGTGAACTGTTTGGCAATTTCCTCAATGGTCAAGGTGACAGCTATGGGTGGTCCTGCGGAGATGGACGTCAGACGGAGCAGATGATATTCGGAGACGTCTCCGGCGAGCACCCAGGAACTATTCGGAGACGCACTCCCGCACACAGATACACTGTTTGGTGGTCAAACTTGCGTAGTGTTTGCTGCAGATCACACATATAGCCCCTAAAACTATAGCAAATCAATTATTTTCAAGAACATTTCAAATGCAACTGCAAAACATCAAATTATGGGTTAAAACAGCCCCCCCTCCCCCCGATTTCTTAACTTGGTTCTGAGGCACAAAGCATTTTTTGATTGTTTTCTCTCCTTCGGAGTGGTCTCCGGATAGATATACTACGTCAGACAGACCAGGCAGGCAGTGTGTACGGAATGTGGATTAATTCTGGGCACGTCTCCCTCCATGTGTGGTGTGTGTGTCACATAGGCGGGGACTCGTAGGGTGTGTGTGTGTGTGTGTGTGTGTGTGTG